GATGCAGCCTTGGCCATCGCAGCCCTGCGGGGTCTGTCTGCCGCTCCTCTGCTTTATTGACATAAACAGGTAGCAACAAGTGAAACTGACACCAATACCCTTTTCCACATTCAAGGCCCTGCTGCAAAGTGACTGATGCCGTGTGCCACCGCTCCCCGCCCTCGCACCTCTCTGCCAGCCCCAGGCACCCCCCACCTCCAGCCCTGGTCCTCTTTGCCCCCAGAGTGACAGGCATTAACTGCTGCATGGAGTGCCAGGACTCTGGCCCATAAGCATGAAGCCAGCAGCAGCAGAGGCAAGACTTGAATCCAGCATGGGGGTGTGAAGATCTCTGCTCTCCCTTCATCTTGTGGAAAGCCGCTCCACACCCTCTTCCTATTCCTCAAGCCATGGGGCAGGCAGCCCCCAAGGGGAGCAGCACTTACACAAGGTGTCCCTTTCCTGGCTGCAGAGCTGCTAGTGACAGGCAGAGACTGCCCTTCCCCTGCACCAAACCGTGACTCAGAACCCTACTAGTGTCCAAACCCCAAGGCAGAGGTCTCAGCTCCAGCACTGCTGGAAAAACACTCAGTCCCCAGGCAATCCCTGTAAAGTTTTAGTTCCTCACTGCCAGTAGGAAATGGAAACTCAGTTCCAGGTCCTTGCAGCTGAGGGCAGCTGTGCACCATGAATGGAGCCAGGAAGGCCACGGGAGAAGGGAGGCTCAGGAAGGAGTCTGCAAAGGAAAAGGAGCCTCAAAGCTGGCCTGAGGAGTGCTCCCTGCTTGAGCTGTGTGCAGGGCTCTGGCTGCCCCTCCCCATGGCTGACGCAGGCAAGAGGGGTCACTCTTGCATCAAGCTGTTGATCTTTGTGAGCAGCACATCCGTCTCAGACTCTGAGAAGACAAAGAAAAAAACCAGTCATTGTGGGCAGCCACCATTGCAGAGTGGCCTGAAAAGCAGGTTGGAGACTTGGAAAATGTGGGATTCCCCAGTGCTGTCCCACAGGAACTCCCTGGGCTGGGATTTCCTTCCCTCCCCCAGTGATCCCAAACCGCTCTGTTATGTTTGGCTGGAGAAGGCTGCCTGTCTGTCAGGGAGAGTCCTGCAGGCACAGCCTGGCTCCGAGGGAAGCTCTCATCTGTGCGCACTCACCCGCTGGCCGTCTTCTGTAGGAGCATTTCCTAGGAGATGGAATAGGATCGATGTTAGCATGCAAGTCTAGCCTCCCCCTTCCCTCCCCCGAGCTACCAGCTGGAGCCTGTGGGGCCCCACAATCACACAGGGATCTGCTCTCAGCTCCTGCAGCACTGGTAAAAAGGAGCAGGACAAGGGTCCCCTCAGCCTCAGCACATCAAGCCCTGCAGTGCAGGGCAAGTTAGGAAGTGTAAACTAAGGCATCCAGCATCTTGAGGCAGGGTTAGGACAGATTTTTAGCTGCAGCCTGGTGATAAAGGATGCCCTCCCACACTGCTGTCTTAGTTAGCCAGACAGGAGAGGACCCTCCAGGATCTGAGTCCAGAAAGGGGTCGCAGCAGATACAACCAGATTTGGGTATGTACCAGGCACCCAGCACACATTACAGCCTCTCTCAACAGACCTGCCCTGGGATGGGGAAAGGGATCAAACCTACTTCATCAAGAGGAAGGCCCAGAGGATGACAAGGAAGGAAGCACAGTCTACAACAATCCAGATCATGAGGTACGTGCTGCTGGGCTGCAAGGCAACAAGAGAAGCCATTGAACACCAGCTAGAGGTGGTGTGCTAGTGGCACAGCCCAGCCTGCTGTGCCACCAGTCCCTTCTACAGGGTCACATATTCCCACATCAGTACAGCATGGAGCAGAAGCACCCTCCAGGAAGTTGGCTGCACAGGGCTGATAGAAAAAGTGAGCCACAAGTACCTGGGACACAGGGCTGTGGAGCAGGGTGAAGGATGGAGGGATCACTTACAAGCAGCCAGATGGGATGTTTCATCTCCTTCAGCACCTGGCAGGCATTGGTGGTGACAGAGCTCACCCCAGAGCACCACAGCACAGAGAAGAGCCAGGGCTGGTTCACCACATACAAGTTGACAGAAATGTTGTCCTGGCGGTACTGCCTGCATGGGGACAGCTGTGGTCAGAGTAGCAGACAGCAGGGTGCCACCACACTCTATGCAGACAGAGAGGACTGTACATCTGGGGTATGATCTAGCATTTATAGCCATGTGGGGCAACTGTCTGGAGATCCAGACCCAGGGCAGATTTGCTGGCAAGGCAGAGGACTGCAGCCAGCTACACACCCTGCACCAGTCCTACCCTGATAAGGCATGCTTGTCCACAAGGCACACACCCAGCCCTTCCCAGTAGGGCACCAGCACTCGACCTCAGCTGGGCCCTGGGACACAGCTGGGACACTGCCCAAACTCTCAAGAGATGCCAGGCTCTTGGGCACAGGGTTCTCACCTGATCTCCTCAGAGCTCATGTCCTGGTAGGGCAAATTGACACGCAGCAGTGGCTCCTTCTCATTCTGGAGTCTCTTCCGCCCATAGACTTGTTGAACACCTGGGGCTTGCTGTTTGACCTGTTCCCTGAACCCATCTGGAAGCCAGAAGACCTAGGCAAGAGCCAGAGAGTACATGCAGAGGAGAGGTGCTCCAGAGAGCTTGTTCTATTCCAGTATTTCCTTGCAGGTCCAGGCACACATAGTGTGCTCAGACAGCTGCTTCCTGTCCCCCATCTCCACACTCAGCTCCTCCATGAGGATCTCAGCCAGGACAGTCTCCTAAGAGCTTGCCCCAGCCAAGAAGTAATTACAACAGACCCCACAGAGAGGAGAAAGCAGTTCCAGCCTAAGAAAGCTGCAGCAGTTATGTCCTTTCTGGGTCCTTGAATACATCAAGCAGTGCATCCTTTTGGCCCCAACTCTGCAGCAAGAATGCACCTTGGATCAGCACTATAGTAGAAGTCTTTGCTATGTCCCCTCCTGCTCTACATTCCCCAAAAGCCAAGAAAGGAAGGTGATTTGGATGCTAATTCATTCCCTTAGGCAAGCATATATCCTGTGCTGCAGAGGTTGGATGAAGCATAAAGGGAACACAGGAGGTTGCAAGAGGAATCCAAGACCTGCAGGGAAAGGTGTGGCACGGTGTGGGAAGGTGGAAGCCTTAGCACTGTTTTCCTGCTCTTGCTAGCAATGTTGGTCCCCTCCTTAGACTGAGTCATTGTTTACACACCGGGGTGGCCAGTGCTGGGGAACCAAAGTCATTGGGAGGCGTCTGAAGCTGTAGGCATTAAACCCTAATTAATGGCAACTTCTCCCAGCTAGAAAATCCCACACCTGGACAGGGTTCCCCAGCAGGTATCACGTAAGGGGATGTGGTGTACAGGGTGGCAGGGATGCTCAGTGAAGCTGGCAGGGTGCCTCCCATCACGGCAGGGGTGTGACAGCAGGGCCTGGCAGCAGCGAGGCAGTGACTAGCTCACCTGCTGTAGTGGGATGCCTGACTGTAAGATCACTCCCAGGGTGGCATTGACGAAGTTCTGGTAGTCACTGTGGTTCTCAGGCCGGAGGTCAAACATGATGGAGATATTGCTCTGCTTGGCTGCCTCTAGCGCCTGTTCCAGGGATGGGATCCTCTGTTGTGTTGCCTGGTAGCGATCACCATCAGAAAGACTCTGCACGGTAGGAAATGGTCTCCTCTGCAATGGTGACAGAGGGTTAGTCATCACAGGCAGACCTCCTGTAAGCTTCCACCTCCCAGAGTGGTGCCTTTCTCTGGCTCAGTTTCCTATACTGTTCTCTCCACATGCTCTCCAGTGCAGACAGGTACAGGGATCCTTCCTATGCACATCCATGGGACACCTCTACCCTTCTCCCCACCAATAGCACAGTTCAAGCAGCTCCAACACCTGTGGGCATTCAAATCAACTCAGCAATTGTTAGTCACCTTTTGGGAAGAGCTTTGCCACAGCTGCTTTCAAGCCCAGGCAGGCTGTGCAGCTCAGGGCAAACACAAGACATCTCCCCTCAAACCAGCCTCCTTCATGACTCAGCTGAGTTGGCCAGAACAAACCCCACCTTGGGGCATAACCACACCCAAGGGATTTATACAGGCTTCTGCACCCTGTCCAGCTGTCTGCCAAGACTAGTGCTCCAGAGGGAAGGTTCTGGAGCCCCAGGGCAGGGCTAATGCTCTACCCACAAATGCACCCATCCCTGACCAGCCACTCTAAGGGCATCCTGACCTCCAAAAACCAGCTGCCAGCATCCAGCTGCTGGAGGTCTGTCCAGTTGAAGGCAGTGCTGTTCAGGGCAGCCCTCTCAGGGAACACAGCCAGCACATTGGTGGTCCTGGTGAGCTGCTCGTCATGCATGAGGAATGGGACCCCGTCAGCACTGGCAAAGGAGCAGAGAGGGAAGCTACATGTTGTAAGATGTTTGTCTCCTATCCCTACACTGGAATTTCTGCCCCCTCCTAGCTACCTACTAGGGTAACCCCTCCCTTTTATTCTATTTATGGTCCTCCACACAAAAATCTGACTGCCCAGAAAACACAGAGCACCTAGAGACCAAGCCAGGAACCAAGAAGTTCCTTGCTCACTGAAACAGCTGTGCCCATGGCAGGTTTACATGAGATGACCTAGAGCCAGGGTCTGTTTTCCAAGCAATACCCCTCCCTGGATGGGGCCTCCCTCTCTGGAAGGCAACCTGCATGGGGAGGGCAGAAACCCAGTACCTCTCCCAGATCACTGGGACACCAAGCTGGAGCCAGTCCCATACTGGGAGGGTGGAAGCAAGAGAGCCCCTGGAACAGGGCTGCCTCCAAATGCAGGCTGTGTCAGTCCTTCAGGTGTGTTCCAGAATGAACTGTGTGGGAGGTGACATCCCAGGATATACAGGCCCCTTCCTCCCTCTGAGCCCCTTTACCTCACCATGACGTCTGTCTCAAAGACTTGCACATCACAGTCCACCGCCTTGTGCAGTGACATAAGGGTGTTCTCAGGGGCCAGCTGGAAAAAGGAATGGTGTTAGTGCAGAAGGCATGGGCAGGACACGGCAGGAGGCAGGCACTCCCCCTGACAGCTGCACGTGGCATGGTGGGGCATGGAGAAGGACTGGGACCAGCTTGTCCTTGGTTCCCAGCCCATACTACATAGCCAGGCTTTCTGCTGAGAGTCACACGCTCCTGGTCCAGTAGCACTCCGGAAGCAGCTCTGTCCTGCAGCTGCTGCACCCCCTTCCTCAACCTGTGGCTTGCCCATCCTCCTGGCCTGAGCTGCCCTGTGGGGACCCCACTCTGCTGGACTGGCCAGAGCTCATCGGGGCTGTGGCAGCAAGGATCTGGTGCCACACAGCCTGGCTATCACTGCTGGAGCAGTGTGCCCCATCCACCCTGACCACTGTGCCAGGACACTGGTGTTGCTGGTCACTAACCATGGGTGCTCCTCGATGGCCAACCAAGGCTGGCTTGGGGGGCAACTGGTTCTCCTCCATGATGCAAGGGGAGGTGATTGCCAGGGGAGCCAGATACAGTGCAATCATCACTGTGCAGTACACAAGCAGCAGTAACACCTTGAGACCTGCAGGCAGAGACAGAAGACAGAGGAGTGAGGTACAGAGGAAGGTCATTAGGAATAAGCCAAGACTGCTTCACCGGGCATTAACCTGTGGTTAACAATTGCATCCCCACCCTCAAGAACACTGCAAGTTTATTCTTGGCCCTCTACATGTCCTTGCATCCCAATCTAGCACTTTGGCAGGACTCAATCTGCCACCTATAGCCCTACTCCAGATGCAAAGCACTTGAAGCTGCACCAAGGACTGGGCATGAGAAGAAGCAACCAAGAGTTGCTACTACCAGACTGAGAACTGGGGACCTGTACCCACTACACTGATGCTCTCTGAGCACCACTCTACCAACAGTGCCATTTGCTTGGCTGGTAGGAAGCAGTGGCCCAGCCGAGAGGGAAGGTGGAGACCTTGGAGGGCGATTACCTGTATTGTGGGTGCGGTAGATGAAGCTGGCCAGGGGCCAGGCAAGGAGAGTCATTCCCCCCACGATTCCAATGTGCAGGAAGGGACCTGTTGCCTAGGGAGACAAAGGCAGGGTGTCAGCCAGCACCAGCCCAGCCTCTGTCCCCAAGATACACATGCTTCAATGCCAGGGATCTGCCACTGCAGTCAATACCACTGGAAGATCCACAGTGCCAGGGAGGGAAGGACAGACTCCTGGGGGGACTGAACAGACTCCCTGCTCTGGTCTGGCCACCATTCACCACCCTGATGGCAGCTGCTCCAGACAGGACTGCAAGAGCAAGAGCAACACCTTGCAGCCGAAGTCAAGGGCAAGGAGTTAACTCTCATGGCACACAGCCATGCTGGGAGCTTCAGTTACTATTCTTCAGCAGCTCATCCCCTGAAGCCAGGTACGGAGTACAGCGGG